GCACGCACTAGCTCATCGCAACGGTGCAAGTGGGACATGGCCCCTGGTGGTTTTAACTTTAAAACTAAATTATTTGTGAATGTGTATCGCAAAGGGATGCTGGACCCGTTTTCCAGCTGCTACAGCTCCCCACCAGTGAATCGAAAGCAGCCTCTGAAAAAAAAACGCTACAGCTCCCCACCACTTTGAGGCTGCCACCAATACACCCCCCAAATGAATGGAAAAAGTCCAAAAAACAAAGCAATAATCAATTAACAATTTAGTTTCTGTCCTTTGCTGGTGTTTTCTTTTTTCTTCTGTCTTTGTTTTCTTGTATCACAGCTCGAAGTGGAAACAGTGGATTCTCTCCCGCGGAAGGTCGTATATATTCTCCACAGCTCTCCCGATCCCGACTGTTGCAGCTGGAATTGGTATGATGCCCAGTCCACCACGAGCCCTCCAGCCAGGACTAGGGGGGGCCCTCACCGCACCACTCACCAAATGTTCAAAGTGAGAATGATATCTTCCTATAGAACAAGGAAAGATACGCCGCCATAAATTTTGTCTTTTGCGCAGTTCGAGAGTGGTGCGGCGAGGCCCTTGACCACCTCCATGGCCTCCTTTTTTTTGTTTCTCCCCCTTTTAGGGTCTCGCCACACCACTCTTCAAACGCAAAAATCTTTCGAGAGTTGTCGTATACTTTCAAGAGTTGGATTTTCGAGAGTTGAGGCCCCTTCGCCACACAGCACTCTCGAAACCTCGACTCTCTTGAAAACGGGCTTATCGGTCTGGACTTTCTCAAGAGTGCTGCGTGGCAGGGAGACGGCCTGCTCTTGAAATTTGGCGTGGACTACTCCGGAATGGATCTTCCGCTAGAACATTGAAAGATTCATCGTCCCATTGTTGGTTCTTCGGCGGAATCTTCGCCAGTGTACTCTTCAAACCGGGCCGACCGATCCAACCACCGTGTCAGGGTAACATCCTGACAATTCTTGAAAAACAAGGCCCCTTCAAGTGCTCTTGCGAACCCGTGTTGCAGGCTGGGGTTTTCGGTTGTTCAAGAGCGAGTTTTGAGATGCATCTCTGACGACTCTTGAAAAGGTTTCTGACGAATAAGTTTCAAGAGGCTGTGTGGCGGCGCATTGGACTCTTGAAAACGCGGTTTGGAGAGTGGTGTCGCCAGGCCCTTATAATGGAATATCAACGTGGCGAGCCCTTTGTACGTGAGAGGCACAGAAAAGCCGGAAATATCCAGCGGCCTAGCTCAGTTGGTAAGTCATGCAAGTGGCATTCAGGAGGTCTTGGGTTCAATCCCCATTGGCCTCATGTACCTTCCTGGGCAAGCTTGGTGCACACCACCTAGAGATAGCCCGTTGGTCCCCCCAAGCGGCATTGAGCAGAGACTGCTGATGTTCGTAGGGGCAGGGGTCCGGGGGGGAGGGGTCTTGATGCTACTGGCTGACCCCTGTAGCACTTATCGCCCACCTCCTGTGGCAGGTATCACACCTGCTCGTGGGTGCAGCTCCTGCATGTTCCCTCGTTGGAGGCTTGAGCATTTATGTGCCTGCTACGGGGTTCCCCATCATCATCATACTATCATGACAAAAAAAAAAAAAAAGGCCTGAAAGGCCGTCCTGTCCAGATTCAACAGGTAATTGAACTGGTTGGGCTTAANAAAAAAAAAAAAAAAAAAAAAAAAAAAAAAAAAACAAACAAACAAACAAACAAACCTGGTTGGGCTTAAAATAATTAGCCTTAAACCACTAGTACCTGTGTCGGTTCTGAAAATAGCGGGCCTCCGACCTTTCAGAAGGCCGAAACGAAACGACGGTCGTCGATCAGATTTATCAACGGCAGCCGTTGTCGGGCCCGGCCTCCTAAAAGTTCGGGAGCTGGCACAAACTTGTCGAAACCGGACGCCAAAGGTACTAGTGCTTAAAAAAAAAAAAAAAAGAAGAAGAATTAGCCTTAAAAAGGAAAAAAAGGAAGAAATGGTCAAAAGAACAGTGTGCTGTTCATGTTTGTCTTCTTCTGTATTATTATTTTTAGGGTTTGTTTCTGAAAGTGCGCTCTTTTAGTCGATAGATATGGTGACAACATATAATAAGTCATATGGTCGATATCTCGATTTGCGTGTGTCAGGCAGGGTGTTACATTCCCAGTTGGACGATGTACATAATAAACAGAGGATCCGCAATGTGATAAAAAGGACTGAATGGACAATGCAGTGCAAGTGGAATCTCAACAAGCAATGTGCATTCTGATACATACAAAATGGCGCCTTGTGGCGCAGCGGAAGACTTAGATACAAGTCCTGACCTGACCGGGACTGACCTCTATCACGTAGTGCAAGACAGCGCAGCAGAATGCTAGGATATCAATGACTAGCCCAATCAACGTTGCAACGCAGACCCAATATGCATCATTCTCATCACAAATGTGAAGGGGCCTGGCGCTATACACAAGAAGAAGGCTCCAGGTCCAGATCATGCACAGACGAAGAGGAGGGGAACAGACGAAGAAGAGGGGGAGAGATGGGAATGTCGTCAACACCAAGTCTTTGTTACAAGTCCCAAATAATCCCTCGTCAAAATGTCTGAAGCCCAAATGTCGAGTCTGGATCCAAATTTCACCAAGCCCGCTCTCTCGTAGTCTGCTGCTGCAGCGAAGTCAGGTAGCGAGAGGGTGAGATGGAGATGGTGGACTGAGAAGAGGAAGAAGAAGAACTCTCTCTCTCTCTCATATGCCAGGTACTAACCTGATTACCGTTTGATTTTTCATGAGTGGACAAATGTAGACCCTGTTGTACCCCTTCGCCCCCTTTCAGAATTCCCAGACCCCTTCCCTCCCTCCGCCTTAAGCCTGGTTCCGCTGAGCTGGTTTGGCCCTTGAGCAGGAAGAGATGGTTTGAAAGTTTTTTCGAAGCAATCTTGATACTGTACAACGGCAGAATTTCCTACAAATTTCCTACAAAAGGTATAGGAGGTAGTACTGCTAGCAAAATCACGGGTATCTGGCGGCCAGTTTATGGCTGAAGAGGCAGTTCTCCCTTTTCTCCATAATTCCTGTTTCCTTGATCTTGTATCAGCATCATTTGTATGAGGGACACTGGACCCGTTTTCCAGCAGGTGCAGCTCCCCACCTGTGAAGTTGGCGCTGTGCTGCAGGTACCTCGAAAGCGAAGCTGGAGCTATGGCGCTGCAGGTTAGTATCCCTGGCCTCCACCCAATCTCTCTCTCTCTAGTACTACTCTAGCTCCTAAGAGCGCCCAGCGCTGAAGACTACTGCTAACGCTACTAGCGCCCAGCGCTAAAGACTACTGCTAGAGCTACTACTCCTGCAGCGCTCCTCCAGAGTGCTGCTGCCGAATCCTGAAGACTACCTCCTGTCTCCTGAACTGCACGTGAAGTGTCTGGGAAGTACCTAGGAACTACCTACCGGCCTGCAGGGTGGGCCAGTCCTATATAGTGCTGGCGCGTCCAGGAGGCTTCTCTTGCCAATGCCGAAACGTGCCAGACCCTGGCGTTGAAGCTCAACCAGGGGTTGTCTTGAAAACAGGCCCGAAATGGCCTGTGCTAAAACCCTGGTTTGTTGCCTGAGTTTCAGGGCGGGTCGAACTGACGAGGGCCTGAAAATGGCCCTCAGTTTCCGGCTGAAAACACTCAGGGCCAGAAATGCCCTGATTTAGCCTGACACGACACAGGGCCCTTGTTTTCAGGCTTTCAGGCTGAAACGACACGGGGCCTGTAGGCCCTTGTTTTCAGGCTTTTGGCCTGAAAACGTCATGGGTCTGAAAGGGGCCCGTGCAGCCTGTTGCAGACGCAGCATGTAACACAGGGCATACTCTCGCTAGGACCGTTTTACTTGTTTCTGGACGTAATTGCGGTCAGATACAAGAAGGTCTGGCCATAAAAGAGATCAGAATCATCAGACACATTTAACATAGAGCTAGCTTCTTCCCCGAATACAATCAATGTACGGTCATTATAGCTGCATTTAGACTGAAAGATACCCCGAAATACAGATATAATGAACGTACGACGTACGTTGTGTATTCGGGGGAGGAAGGTAGTGTGAGTACGCCCTCATCCTTAAGTGTTGCAGGGTCCATGCCACTCTTCTCTGTATAGTGCCGTTTTTTTTTTTTTTTTTTAATGGATGTCCCGAAGAACCTACCTCCATGGTCTGCATCTGATGGGAGACCCTATTTTTCTGTATCTGGTCTCTTTTTCTCTCCCGTCGAAGTGCTTCCACTTGCATGAATGTTACTTCACACACTGATGGGAAACGCTATTTCGACCTCACGAATACAAATGGAGCTCTTGTGCCAAAAAAAAAAAGAAAAAAAAAGAAGTGCTGTTTCAAACCGAGTTTCTTTCATTCTTCTCTCAACTTCTGTTTTTTTTTGGCCTTTCACTACCTACTCCTAAGGCTATCTAGAGGGGACCCCTGCAAGCATAGTTTCCTCTCACTGTGAAGGGGAGATTTCATGTTGCCCCTTGCCCCTAATGTTTAGGGTATAGGGTTGGGGCTGCCAGTAGGGGTCTGGCTAACACAGACCGAGACTTGCCAGTAGCTGCGCCTCCCTTTTTCATCGTCCCCCACCCCTCATCGAGTAGCAGCAGTGGCTATGGCCAACACTCTCCCACACACCACACACTACCCACTCGCGCTCGCACTCACACCCATGTTGGTCATAGATTCCACTAATACCGGTCAGGAGTATCCAGAGGACTATCCCAGTTCGTTGGCACTAAGTGCGCCGCAGGCGGTCATGGGGCTTGAACCCACAACCTCCTGAATGCCACTTGCATGCCTAACCAACTGAGCTAGGCCGCTGGATTTCAAACCGAGTTTCTCTCACCCGGTTCGGACCCGAGTTAAATAATAACTGATTTAAAAAATTAAAGAACTGGGTGAGAGAAATTCGAACCGAGTTTCTCTCACCCAGTTCTTTAATTCTTTAAATCAGTTATTATTTAACTCGGGTCCGAACCCCACGGCTTCCAACAGGGTGGATACTAAAGTGGGTAGCTATCCAATCTGCTTAACCCATCAGTTAGTTAATTTTTGGGGGTCGGAGTTCGAACCCCAACGCGTCCAACATGGTAGTGGTATGCTTGGACGCTGGTTGACCTGACCTGAAAAAGAAAGCGACCTCTGTGCAGGCCATCTCTGTTCGGCCTAGGCTCGCCATCTACATGCTTACCCGCCGGCGCTGGCGAACACCATTCGAAGCTCGAACCCAAGTACAGTGCATCCAACCTGAATTTGAACCCCAGTACATCCAACTTGGATTCGAACCGCAGTACGTTGTATAGTGCGAGTCGCAGATCTGCTTAAACCCATGGCCAGCGCAGCTGGCCCTTCGTGCAGGCTGTGGGAAGATGCACATTTTTGGATGAAAAAGAGGGGAGAGGAGAGGGGGGTAAGGGGAAGGGGGGGGGGGGGGCATGATGCATTTTTTCGCCTACACATCAGTCCTTTTACCAACTGCTTTATCTATGAATAGCATTGAATACATGTTATGATATTACAATAATTAGTTATAATTATTACATTGATTTTTTTTTTTTTTTTGCTGTTTTTTTCAATGCACTCACCAGTGTCGGCTGACTCAGCACTGAATTTTTTTGGGTCCTGACAGAGTGTGCCACTCTATATGGAGATATTGAATCTTGTGTCTATGAATGTATTGATTTTTTTAATTTTTTAATTTTTTAATTTTTTTATCTCTGAATGTATTGAATTTTGGGGGTGTCTATGATTGAGTAATATTTGGGTTTGAAATGTTGTTTTCTAAACATTTTGTGTTCGCAGAAGCGCTGTCCGTGTCAGAGCGAGAGCCTTGGCGCCGAAGGGCTGTTCATGACAGAGTGGAGCAATTTTCTGATGCTATTGGGATTCGATTTGCGAGTCCGATATGCCCACTTGTGGTCGGCAGCGAGGAAAGCGCCCTCATTGCTGCTAGGTGAGCTCTGCTCCGCACACTTAGGGCCTGATCCCACCACTACACTACAGCCCAGTTACACTGTAGTTTTCGGATCCCACCACTTTCCGACGTCGTCGCGGCCGCCGAAATATTTTGCCCTACTTTCGTTTGTGTGTGTCGTGGCAGCACGTCCACGAAGGATGCAAGCGTAGTTGCTACAATTTTTGTGTAGACCGTGAGGGCATCTCTGCAGCGAAAAAGAGGGAGCAATTTTTTTTCTTTTTTTCTTTTTTTCTTTTTTTCTTTTTTTCTTTTTTTCTTTTTTTCTTTTTTCTCTTTCGTCCTTTTGCAGCATTTCGATTGGCTGCCCTCTCAACAGCCCACAAAGAACCGCCTCGGGTTCAGGAAAAGCACCGAAGAAGTCGCCCTGGTGGGATCCAAATTTTCTTTTTAGTCCCGCCACGGCCGCTGACATCATTGTAGTGCTTTTTGGCGACTACAGTCGTAGTGTAGTGGTGGGATCAGACCCTTATTGCCTGCCTCTGCTGTTAGAAAAAAAAGCCTTTAACGCTTTTACCTCTTTTTGCATATGTCGGCGTCCTGTCGCCGCCGCCTTTTCAGCCTGCATTTGTTTGTCGACTTTCGTGGATTTCCCATGAGCGCTCTCCGCTAATTCACCTCTCCGATAACTCACCTCTTTTGCTAACTGCGATGATTTGCGAGCTTGCATGGACATGTAATTTGGTGGGACTTGGAGATCATTGAACACATATAATATATAAATATATAGATAGATCGTTTGTTGTCCTCTTCTCTCTCTCTGCCTACGGTTTACCGGGCAGTTCTATTTGTGACGATATATATATATATATATTCTATTTGACGATATATATATGACGATATATAGAGTCGGTGAAACTCCGACGAAACAGTTTGTCACAGCCCCTCGTTTGTTGTCCTCTTCTCCCTCTCTGCCTACGGTTTACCGGCCAGTTCTATTTGACGATATATATATATTTGTCACAGCCCCTCGTTTGTTGTCTTCTTCTCTCTCTCTGCCTACGGTTTACCGGGCAGTTCTGTTTGTGACTATATATATAGATATAGATAGATAGATAGATAGATAGATAGATAGATAGATAGATAGACAGATAGATAGATAGATAGATATGGAGAGTCGTCTGTCTGGTGTGGGTGAGTGATAGTCTGCTTTGATTTTTGTCACAGGTACGTTGAGGGCAGTGGTTGCTGCCCACCTCAGGGTATCAGTTGTTGGGCGGTTGTTGATGCTTAACTGCAACCGGGGTTAAGGTGGGTTATCACTTCACTTATAGTAGCATTGATTAGGGGACTTTCCAGACTGTAGAGGGTTCAGCCTCGTGATGAGTCCGTGAAACTCTGATGAAACAGTCTGTCACAGAGCGAGAAGAGGACATCAAATGAAGGACTGTGACAGACTTTCGGCGGTGTTTCACCGGCTGATCAGGAGGCTGGACCCTCTCCACTCTGCGGAGTCCCCTAATCAACGCTACTATAAGCGATCATCCACCTTAATCAACGACTGCCAAACGACTGATAGCCTGAGGTGGAAAGCAACCACACTACCCTCAGGGCCACTCATGACGACAATCAATCCTGTCCAGTCTGCAGAGTCCCCTAGCTGATCATTACACTGTAAGTGATAAACCACCTTAACCCTGGTTGAGGTCAAGTATCCACCACTGCCAGACAAGTTGCGACAACTGATACCCCTCTGAGGTGGTGGGGACCACCAACCACTGCCCTTAAGGTATACCTGCGCCGAAAATCAAAGCAGACTATCACTCACCCACACCAAACGGAAAATTCTACACACTGCAGGGTCACACCCCATCATAAGCCAGCAAAACACCCATGAAACAAAGAAAGGGCTGTCACAGCCAGAAAATACACTCCAGACACTCCTCCGGTGGCACTAGAGTCACAGCATGGCCTCATGGCGACAGCCCTAACCACCGCTATTCAACAACCTGACTAAAAAAAAAAAAAAAAAAAAAAAACCTGTAGCAAGGAGATAGCAAAGTCGTTGTAATACGGTACTATATATATGTATATATATGGGCATAGAGAACTGCCCACTGAAGTGTAGGCAGAGAGGGAGAAGTGGACAACAAACAAGGGGCTGTGACAAACTGTTTCGTCGGAGTTTCACCTACCTACTCATCAGGAGGCTGAACCCTCGACAGTCTGCAGAGTCCCCTAACCTATGATACTCTGAGTGATAATCCCACCTTAACCCCGGTTATGGTTAAGCGTCAACAACAGCCCAACAACTGATACCCTGAGGTGGGAGCCACCATTGCCCTCAAGGGACGTGTGACGGAAATCAAAGCAAACTATCAATCACCCACACCAGACGGAAAGGGTTCAACCTCCTCTGTTTCATAGTGTGCAAGTGGGATCTGGGCAGCTTGCAGTCAACGACATGAGCGTGGCGAGCCCTGTATGTGGGAGGCAGAGTAAAGGGGGAGCCAAAAGAAGAAATAAAAGAGAAACCACGACGGAAGCGAAAGTAAGAGCAACGAGAAGAAATAACTCCTCAGGAAAAGGCGAAAGGACGGTTTCAGTGTGCTTCATGTGTCTGCTTCTTTTTTTTTGCGTTTGTTTGACAAAGGGCAGTCTTTTCGTTGATAGATATGTGAAACAATAGCAGGAGCGTGAGCAGGGAAGGAAAAGTAGGAAAAGGAGGGGAAGGAAGAGGAACGAAGGGAGGAGGGGGAAAGAAAAGGGAGAGAAGAGCAAGAAGAGGAGGACAAAAAGAGGGGATGAAGAGGAGGAAAAAGAGGATGAAGGAGAGGAAGGGAGGGACAAAGAACAAC